AGGAGGAGGAGGAGGAGGAAGAGGAGAAGGAGGAGGAGGAGTAGGAGGGGGAGGAGGAGGAGGAGGATAATAAAAAGAATAAGAAGAACAGAAGGGGGGATGGGGAGGAGCATGAGGAACAGGAGGAGGATAAAAACCAGGACAAGGAGGAGGAAGAGGAGGCAGAAGGAACAAACAAGTGAAAGAATAGAGAAAAGAATAGAATTCAGAAAAGCAAAAAGAAGAACAGAAGAAAGTAGAGGAGGAAGGGGAAGAAAAGAAGGAGGGGGAGGATGAGGATCAGAAAAAGAAGGCAGAGGAGGAAGCGGAGGATGATGAGAAGTAGGATGAGTGAGTAACCTCCTCTTTCTAATCTTAGACAAGCTAACCGAAACAGAGAAAAAGAAAATTGTATGTGAATATTATAACATGAATGACAAAGGAAAATAACAACAAGGATAATACAGCGACAGTGCTGGTGATGATGATGATGATGATGATGATGACGATGATGATGATGACGATGATGATGATGATGATGACGAAGATGATGATAATGATGATGATGATGATGATAATGATGATGATGATGATGATGATGATGATGATGAAGATGATGATGATGATGATGATAATGATAGTGATGTTAAGCATTGCAAAGTAAAGTTTTTAGCGTAAACTCCCCCCCCCCTCCGGGCAAACTTCAAATTCCTCCCCCCCTTTACCCTTTTCCACTTGCCAACTCACCCAATTTTAGTTGATTAGATGGCTTGAGACCTTTACATCTGTCAGCCCAGGTCATTAAATTCTCTATGCTTCCAGATGATAAGAACAAGAGAACAATACTTTCCATCCATACCCCCCACCCTTCCCCCCTCTCCCAAACCTCCAAATCAATGACCTTTTTCCCTTCTATCTATTCATGAGCTGGTACTCATTACGAAATTTTGAAATGTTCTGACCAAGTAGCCACTGTGATCTTTGTGGTTCTACTCACAGTGGGACCTTATCTAACAGATGAAGAAGACCAACCTCATTTATGATTTAGCAGCTGGGTTGCTCTTACTGAAGTATATGAGGCCAAATGTCAGACCAGCGTGTAGCTGTAATTTGTGTGACATAATCTTATCCAACTGTGATAAATCATTCAGAGGAGGACAACAGATGATGATGATGATGATGATGATGATGATGATGATGATGATGGTGATGATGATGGTGATGATGATAATGATGATGATGATAATGATGATGATGATGATGACTTCTTGCCAGAGCCTTCAATTTTCTCTGGTCTTCCCGATTTGTCTTTATCACACTTTTTGGAATAATGACGTGGATGCGTGCACTTTTGTTGCTATAGCTTGAAGTCATTAGATCTTACATTATTTTTTGTATCATGTTCCTGACGAATACCTTTACCGGGCGAAACGTTGAACCTGTATTAAATTTGAAAAATCTACAAGTCTCAACCCTTTTTTATTCCCTGCTACTAACAATGAAGATGATGCTGATGATGATGTTGAAGATTATGATGATGATGATGAGGGTGATGATGATGATGATGATGATGATGATGTGTACTTGAAAAAAAGATCTAAACACATTTTTTTCCCAGTATTATTTGTAATAAAGTTCAAGCAGAATCTCTTCTTTAAAAGTATCTATTTTTTCCCCATAGCTTTTATGATAACGAATAACAGTGGTGTTGACATTCATAATGGTGGTGATGGTGATGAAAATGATAGTCCCAATGATGATGTTGAGGTGGATAATGATGAGATAGATATGCATAATGACAATAATGATAATGAGACTGATGATGATGCTGTTGATGCTGCTGATGTGGCTGCTGCTGCTGCTGATGATGATGATGATGACGACGGTAATAATGGCAAGGTAGATACAGATGGTGATAATGTTGATCTTACAGAAACTAGAGAAGTTTCAAACACTGTAACAAACAACCCAACTGACCTCTGTGCATTGACTTGAGCACTCTCCTTTTCACTGATTCTCATGTCTCGGATTTCATCTACTCCCTTCCGGAATACTCGCCACATATAAGGCGTCAGCCACCCAAATGTGATGTAGTTGATGCAACCATTGGTAGCCAGAGGCAAAGTGTTTTCTGGTCTGCAGAAAGATGCATTTTAAAATCACATTAGTATTTTCACCACAAAGATCTACAACGAAAAATGATCTGTTTGTTTAATACAACTTACCCCGCAGGTGGCAAGCTTACTTTTACGAACGCAATAACAAAGATAAATAGTGAAATATAAGTATGCAAATGCAGTGGCAAACATACAGCAATGATACTGACAAACAACCCTCTCTCTCCCTCCCTCCCTCCCTCCCTCCCCCT